TGCCAGCAACCTCACTCAATTGTTATCAGCTTCCTGAATTTAATGTGACTCTTGGGGGTTAGGATGCTGCCCATGCATTATAAATGCTGCTCATTGACTTCTGCTGGTAACCTTTTCCTCCCTTTCAAATGAGCAGCTCCCGACTGGCTGTGATTACTTAACAGACAATAGTGCAATACAATATATTCAAGGGCTTGTTTGTATTTTATTCCACGACTTGGAGATGTATTGTCCTCCTTTGCTTTTACCTCTTTTCAGAATATTGTCAGGATTAATGCCTTCAAAAATATATCTATATATATGCAGACTTTTTCTCCCAGTGTGAGGTGCAGTAGTTACATTTGGTGAAAGTCATGCTATGTTATCCTCAAAGTGCAGTTTACCCGGAGGGGGCAAATGAAATCTTTATAAAGCCTGGTCATTTCTGTCTGCCAGAGCAGCTCATTTTAAAGTCTGTATAATCTATGAAATAGCTGCAAGTGTTTGAATAAGTACCAAGAGTGTACGTTGCATACTTCACACAGGAGTATGCAGGTTACTCAAGGTTACTTGTTAAAGATGCGGCCATTTCAATACATTTTTCTGTTCATTAGCCGTATCTCCTTTGCCTCTAGCCTCAGCATGCATGGGCACGGCCTGTCAGTTACAGTGTCGCAACCACAGGGTCATTTAATTTAGAGCCCTGCTCCGCCGATTAGGCTCTTTGTTGTGAGTGGCCGTGACTACTGTAACACGGGTGTTTGGGTCAGCGATGGGCACAATAGCTTAGTTACTCTCGCTGACTTCCTCTCTATTGCCGCTCCCTCTCTTTCTCAGCACATTTTCCACTTGGCTGATAAAATAAGCCGGTCTTTGATGAGCTTTGGGCCGGCCACAGCGCTGTGCCTCGGTAAATGCTTTTATAGAGACACACCACAGGCTGTCGACTTGGATCAGTCATACAGTGGCCACATGCGTCCACCGCTCCCTCATATGTGCTTTTGTCTCCCGATAGCACTTTTTTTTTTTTTCTTCATCGTCACACAAAGATAAGCTGGTGCTAGAGCCACTAATGAATTTCAAGAATGCCCTAAGACGACAGTATGGAACTTTTCGCCCAGAGGCAGGAAGGGTAATGTTAGTCCTTCAGTTGGTCACCCCAGCACCTTTCAGTGTGATTAGTTGTGTACCTTGAGGCAGCATGAAGCCAGAGGCTGACATAGCCAACAGCTGCAGAGCCAACATTGGGCGTAGAAGCAGGTGCAAAATGCAAAAATGTATACATTTTTAATGAAAGCTGTGAATGTGTGTTTGTTGTGGTTTTGCTTTTGTGTCAAGCTTTCATACAATTTGCCTTTATTTTAATTTAGAAAGCAGCTGAATTAAGTGTTTAATTTAAATGATTAAGAAAAAAGTCTTGCTTTGTCTTCCTTACCTCTTATTCTTTATTAGAGCCTGGTTCCCTGTTGCATTACTCTTAATTTTTTTAACTAGAAGTAGCTGGGGGAAAAAAAAGAATGGTTTATTTTGATTAGAAAAACTCTGTTGCCATTACGTTTTGTAATATAGTTGTAACGGGGAGGTCAACTAATTAATTTGTTTTAAAGGAAATGATACTCAGTTGTTTCACTGAGGAAAGTGCACATAAACAAATGCAAGAGAGGGATTGCCACCACACAGTCAGTTCTTTTGTTTCGCACTTTACTTTCAATGCACTTTGTGTTTTTTTTTTTGGTTTCAAATAACCATCATGAACAAAGATGAAACTCAACATTGGGAGGTGTGGTCAGAAATATGGCCTGCTGTCCCCACACTCGGCAGCAATGTCCAGCACATTGTTCCACAGTGAATCATTTTTTGCGGGTGAAGTCACATTTGGGCGTAAGTTCATGGCACTGACAGCAGCATCGTCGGGCTGTGTTTCATCACTCTGTAATGTGGAAAACACTTTCACCATGGAAACTCGAACACTGCTCCAGATAATGTGCCAGTGAAACGGACCAGAGAGTCTTTCAAGGCCATGTTTTCATGTTAATGCGATAAAGTTGCTACATATCTTTCTTTGGACTCAGCAGGGGGGGAATTGGCCACTTACATAAAACAGGAGCCCAATAGATTACTGTAGAATTTTCCTTATCCTGATTTGTTATATTTTTTGTTTAAATCCTTAAGTCTGTATGCAGAGACATCACAGATTGGCTTATCATAAAACACCAATGTTGTTTTATTTTGTCTATTGTCATGAGGTCATTTAACATAGATTATCACCTCACCTCAGTTTCTGAAGTAGATGTAAACCTCGCCCTAGCCTGACGTCAACTCCCTTAGAAATTGTGATTGTGATGCAGACCGTAACAAATGTGATTGGTCCATTTGGCTGCATCACATTTCCTCTGTGCCCCTCAGTGACTGGACAAACACAAAAACAAATCGCACCTCTTTCTGCCTCAGTCGGTTAAATTGTTGTGCACATTATCTATCACCCGAACATTCTAAACTCCAAATCCAACACGACACTGCTTAGTTTCAGGCGCCGTTGTCCACAAGAAACTGAGCATTTGTGGATCCTGTACACAGGCCTTTACTGGGCTGTTTTCAAGTCACTCAAAATGAAAAAGTGGTTTGGAGTTTTTGAAATCTTTCACTATGCTTGCACTTTGGAGCATCTGGTTTGGAAAGTGCTGATGCAGAACAGTGTCGCTGCTCATCTCGTCAGTCTGTGAAGCAAACGTTAATGTTCAGGCCAGAGCTGTCAGCAGCAGCATTGGGTGTCCGATATCAGAAACCCTGCCAGATGTGACGTGCGAGCGGATGGTCATAATTGCGCTTTGAATTACATGATTAAATCAGATTTCATTACACATACAAAATAGCTTCAGATTATGGCGAGTGACCACAAATACAATCCTGGAGTTAAAATAGAAATCGCAAGTAGGATATTGCTCAGAAAACAACAGAAAACAACACGAGTAACTGCACTAACGCTTTCATTAACAAGCATCTTGGCATTAATAAGCAGCTTTCTCACACTGTGCTGCGTTGGGTCATCCGTTGCTCGTACTTCAGAGAAGTCGCATATCTTTGGAATGAACATCTTAGTAGTAATGGTACAAGATTGCCTTAGGTGCCTGGAACTGCCTGGTGTACATTTCTCTGATCCAAAACCCTTTGAAGATATGAAGGAAGCTTCAGTTCCCAACTAATGGCTCTACTGTAACACAGCTGATTAAGCGAGAGCAAGTTAGAATTCGGGCTCTGATGATGTCTGGGTTCATTGAGGAGGAAGAGCGAATAATGCTTCTATAAGAGGAAAATATGTAAAATCAAAGATCTGCACAATCGCTGTAATTGCAGTAAATTAGCTCTGAATTAAAAAACAGGATGTATTGTAAGCAGATGATGAAAGTCGACTACGGCTCATTAAGCTGTCGAGGATATTATTTTTATTTTCTGCCGTCTGCGAACCCTCACTCCCTTTTTGTGCAACAGTTTGTGGTCGGGATTGTGTTCCTTTCCAAACACTTCCAGGCCTGCTAAATGACTGGCAGATGCTCCGTTGACCAGACCGGCTTCGGCGGTTCAGCTGAATTGACCTACGGCATCTGTTTCCTGCGCCAAAGTCTCACATTTGATCAGCGAGTGAACAACAGATTTGATGAAGCGAGGCCACAGCGCTGGTTTTGAAGCCAAGATCGGTCGGCCATTGTGCCCAGATGATATTTCGAAATTTTGGCAATATAGCTGTTTTTTTTTTTTTTTTCTTCTCCTTTTGTAGCGTCACTTTGGGAGAAGCGTTGAAGTTTTCATCACTGACACACTTGCACAATATCAAACCCAACAGCAGCTACAAACAATGCATTTATTTTCATTTCTCTGTTCTTTGTTTAAGTCTTGTTTTGGACGTTGAAGGTGCTTTTAAAAGTTGCGTTGATGTGTGACAAACAACACAAAAAGGTCTTTCTAATTCTCTCGAATCCAATATCTGTCTAATTTGCATTGTAAACACAGTACTCGTAATGACTCCTTTTTAATTTTGGCTTATTATTCAAGACCCTTACCTGCTACAGACACCTCAATTACAGAAGTGTAAGAGCTCATCAGTTTTATTATTGCAGGTGAGATTTAATTAGAACTCATGTAAAGATAGTTTGCATCACAATAAGGGAAGGGACATGTTTTTCTGCTCCCGAGGTAAAGAGGAAACAGTCTTTTCAGTTTCATTAAATACAATTTGGATTCAGCTCTGTGAAACCGCACATGTAGCCGTTTAATCCAGTCATAATTATGCTGAACCACTTCATCTGTGTATTAGCCTCTCTACAGGTTTAATGCGAAGCAAAAACTCCAGAACAAGTGGAGCGACGTGGAGAGGAAGTGGTAAAAGATGGATTTAAACAAAGGCCAAGAGGCAGAGCAGGAGAGCAAAACGTGCACAGTGGGAAAACGAGATGGCGCAAAAGGTTGACTGAGCGAGGGGCGGCCATCAAAATGCTAATGCTGTATGGGATATTTACTGCAGAGTGTTAATGCGGTTTAAAACAGGCTCTTTGTCCTGCAGCCCATCACCAAGCCCCTGTTGGGCCCTAATAAATCAGCCATTAAAAGCTGATGTGACCTGAATAGCTCTTCATACAGCGGCAAATCGGGTTCCATCGCCAGAGTGGGAACCAGACAACAGCTGAAAAATGTATGAAGATGCCACTTAATAATGGCCGTCCCAGCTGAGAGCAAAAGTTAGTGTTTTTGCGTGTGTGGCGACTGACAAACTGACACTGCAGGCACTTGAAAAAAGTTCTTATTTTCAGTTTTTGGGGGTTTCTCTGAATAAAGCTGGAGTCTTAGATGTGCACAGGCCTGTTATCCGTGAGTTAGAGAGTCGTGCTGGCAGACATTTAAAGTTCCCCTTTTTGCTCGAGTGTTTAATTATGTCCCCTGTCAGCTATTCTGAAAGAATCAGTGTTGCCATGTTTTGTGCCGTTCTCTCTCCTCTAACCTGCTTCCTCTCTGTGTTTCCTTTCCAGGACAGGCCATGGTTTTATTATCTGGCATGTGACACGCTGGATCGGTGAGGAGAACACTCAAGAATCGCTCTCCCTTTCACGCCGAGAGGTATTGTTGGATTTTTATCACCATCTCTGAACCTGACAAACGGAGCTGAAAATATACAAAACACACAAACACACACACACACACCCAACAGAGGCGCGGTAATGAAGATTGTTCATGGTGGCCAATTGGGCATCGCTCTTTGTGTGCAGTAGGATGTTTATTAAAATGATTCATGATAGGTACTCATCTTCTTATGCAAATCTGTGGGACAACATCGGTAAGTCTTTCATTTCTGCCACCAGCGACAGGGAGGGCTTTTTTTATTAATTTTTTTGGGGGGGGTTGCTAACCATACACATCTACCGAGCGTGTTTGGATTTCATTCCCTGATGCAAATGATGTTTTCGGTGTAATCATGCAAAAGCGCAGCTGGCTTCCACTTCTCCACACCTCGATACACCTGCCGCCCCTTAACCACCAACACCTCCACGCACCCAGCTCCGCTCGTCTGTTTGCCACTCTTGTTTTCCGCAGCCCCCTATTTGCTCCCTGCCTCTCGTTCTTATCTTTTATTTTTTTCCATTTCCTTGCTCACTTGTCATGCCAGCTAAAGCCCACCCCTCCTCATCCCATCAACACACACACTTCCCTCCATCCCGCTCGCCTCCCCTCCACCAGCCCGCTCTGTACCGAGCGGAGCCTCTAGCCTCGGTGCCTCCCGTGGTGAGGCTGGATTGAATTCAATTAGGTAGATTGTTTGCCCTCCAGAGTTTAGTGGGCTCCGTGGATGATAGGTTTGCCTGCCGACAGTCCCACTCCCTCACACACACACACACACACACACACACACACACACACACACACACACACAAACATGTCCTGCTACATCCATCTAGCCTGTTTCCCCTCCATTTGACTCAATGCATCTACCTGCCTTTTTCCTCTTTTCCTAACAGCTTCCTAGCGGCAGTGCATACAATGTTTTCTTTGTGCATACGTTGTTTACACGTTCCGAGGCCTTATTATTTTCAGATATTGTATTCAAAGCGATCAAGGCATAAAATCTGGCTCCGTGGGAGAATGTGTCGTATCACCTTTTTGATAAGCCTAGGCCACAGGGGGGCTTATATTCCTCATGTGGCTGTTTCAGGAGGGATGATGGGATCGGTGTTTTCCGTGGGGAGAATTATTGGGAACTACGTTTGTGCTCAATCCCAGTGACTACTCACACTTCGCCAGGATTAATTTGCCAGTTCGCCCGGTACATCCAGCAGGAAAGAAAGGATAGTAAATGTTGCTGACATAGGAGTAATGCTCACATTAGTCGCAAGGTGAAAATAGAATTGGGCTGTCATTTGAATAACATTGAGAGCAGCAGGCGGTCGTTGTGCTTTTTTAGATATGAAGTGTAAATCTGGTACAGACATAATGGACCTTTGGTCTCTATTCTCTAAAAAACCAACAACATCTCAGCGACTTGTCCTGCAACCCGCTGCTTTCTTCCACATGTCACGCTGTGAGAGCGTGTACGGTGCTTCTCAGATATCAGATACTCTATTAGGGCTGAGAGATGTCAAATGAATTAAAAGCCGGGAGTCGCTTTCATGATAAATATCCTAATGCATCCCGACGTGGAATTACGAACTTCATTTGATGCACCTTCTTTTTCCTTAATTTGTGGTCACTTTGGATTAAGTGCGATCGACTTCAGGGTGATAATCTTTTGGCTGAAGAAGAAAAAAATCTAATTTGAGTCCCAAGCACAATGATTTGTAATAGTAGTGAGAGATTTCTGGAATTGATATGTGAAGGATTTCATCAAGGACAGATCTGTAAGCCTTCAACTACAACACTCTTTTCAGCCTTATGAGAGAGTATGAACCTCTGGACTCTCCCCCAATGCTTTGCATACCCAACATGGTTGCCCATAGCATCCGGCCATTCAAGTTAGTTTGACCCTAATGGCCAATGATGACACCAGCCCTGCCAAGGTTTGGTTCTGTTATTTTAAAGCCCTGCCATTTGTTTTCATAGTGTGATCCTGCCCGAACAGCTTGAAATGATGCAAAACAGGTCATTTGAATGGGAGGGGAGTAAAAATCCTTTCGGCCGATGTCAGCAGTGTTCTTGAATTTGAGTCCTCTCCAGAGGTAGTTGACTTTGTACGTCTTTGTTGTTGTTGTTGTTGTTGTTCTCCTGTTACTTGGGCAACTATGGTCGACACCAGAGCAGCCTGGCTCAAGGATAACAGACTCAAAGCCCTCTCTAAGTGGCCAAATTATTTAAAAGGCACACATTGCTTGATGTAGTGCACGGCTGATAATGGCAAATTTGTTGACCCTTTTCTGCAAATTGCTGTCGTCAAGACAACTGCAACCTGCTGGAAATATATTTGCTCACACATGTTAGTGGTTGTTTTGTCTCAGTGGACGATGACAACTCTCCTGCAGCTACATGAAAAAGTAATTTAATAATCTCCCCATCGGTTTCCTTATATTTCATATATGTAAACTATGATAAGGGATAAATGCAGTGCAGAGAAATGTTGCGTTTATGGACCAGATCGGATTGCTATTGATTTTAACCTCAAGCACATTCACTTTCATTCATTTATTTGCATTTAGAATCATTAGGGGGAAGCATTATTCAGGCCAGTTGTTAATGGCAGCAGCTTTTTGAATAAATACAATTTGTAAAGCTGCACGCCACATTAGGGCCTTTATTTCTTTTAGCTTGGAAAATTGTATTGTTCTGAACCTCATTATGCACAGTGTTTGTTGAGTCCTTTAGAATATTTATTTATCTGTGTGTTCGTTGGTCATGCTTGTTTAGCATATAGGCTACTGTGTATATATGACAGCTGGCGTGTGTGCGCATACAGTAAATGCATATGTATTTATTCGTAATGTGGTTTTTGGTGACAGACTCTGCATGTGCTCCCCCCTCCACTTATTCCAATACACTATTCATGACTTCAGTGGCCCTTCATCACTCACTTTATCTGCATCATCGTGCTTTTTTACATCCTGCAAAAGCTTTGGTCTTTTGATGTTCCTTATGTAACAGGGCTGGTGACGTTATTACACAGCAACAGAACTGATTAACAAATCACAAATTAAAAACAATTAAAGTGAAAAGTAAAAAGATGCTAAGGGCATAGGTTCACAAGCATTATAAGAGAAGGTCAAATATGATTTTTACATCTGCTAACAAGAAGCAGCAGTCATAGGAAAACAAGCCTGGCTTTTTCTGCAGGTGCCGAAATCTGTCTCACAGCGCTTCTACCCAGCTCACTTATTAACACATTATATCTTTGTTTAAATTGTACAAAAAAAAAAAAAATCCAAGGCGATGACAAAACTCCTTGAAATATGTGTTAATTAGCGAGCTTCAGAGGAAGGCAGACGTCGTTACTTTTGAACGCAGCCGCGCAAGCTGTGTTCCCTCGTTTCCAGACGACGGCTAAGGTCGGGCGAACCACCTGCTGGCTGTAGCTGAGTTTGTTTTTCCTTATTTAGCAGTAGGTTTTTTATTCTCTCTCCCTCTTCCTCTCTTGCCATTGCTTGTCACAACCCCTCTACCTTAGTCGCAGAGGGCTACACAGCGTTTCCCTTGATTTCTATTTGACAAAGAGAACAGAAAATTTGGACAGAGCTATTTGGGTATGAGAAGCGGGATGTTAGAACAAGATCCTAAGATGCGCCCACATGGCTGCTCTCCTGGTACCTGCACTGACAGTTCGGGTGTCTTAATAAAACAACAGTCTCGACAGCGAACTCACACAGCAGCTCAACGGCCTCCCTGCAACTCCTCCCGCCACTCTTCGTTCCCCTTTCACTCTCGCCTCCTCTCTCTGTTGCCTCTCCTCCTTCTCGCCATGACCGTTTATGCAAATGTAAACGAACACGACGATCTGTTGATGACAATTAGAATCAAACGCTGCCAGCACCTCTGGGGCCACACTCATATCATCTGACACGACAGACGAAAGCAGAAATGGCGATCATTTGAGAGGCTCTGATGTTATTTGGGCTCCAGGGCACTGGGTTAAAGACATAGTCAGCAGATACTGAAGCCATTTTCAAATGCATGAAGTCCAGAGAGATGTCCACTAACTTGGAGAGTTTTTTCCTCTTTGGTTTTTCTAACAGCGAGTCTCCCTTGAACTCGTGCTACCCCCTGTCCAAAGCTTCAGCTCCAGCAAGGTGCGCAGCTCTAATCAGCTCTGTTTGAAGTACGGAGGCAGCAGACTTTACGGAGGAGCCAAGATCTCTTAGGACATTAAGGGGGGAGGCGAGGGAGGAGAGGCAGAGATTACTGCTGGTCTTTTTATAGAGGATCACTCCATCTTGTCCTTTTTATCTCACTCATTAGCTTTCACTTTCCCCCTGGAGGGTGATTCGCTCTTTCTGTCTCTCACGAAGACCAAGGCCACTTCCCTCAGTTTGGCAAGGAACTGGTCTGGCCATCGCTTAACCAAATATGCTCCTCCAGCCTTTCTGTCATTATCAAGTCACAGTCAGAAGCTGCTCGTGTGGTCAGAGCCACTTGCGTTCTGGCAGGGGCCATCGGCCCGGGAGAGGAAAGGGGAGATGGATGAATAACGATTGCACATGCTTTCCTTTGTTGGCAGTGGGTCTGGTGACATACCTTTACTTCATTTTCCTCCCCCTTATTCCCTCCATTTCCTCCCTCCCTTTGGCGAGTACCTGCGAAATCAGACATCCCTCTGTGCCCGTCAAAAAATAACCAACACTCTGCCACTCTGCGACTGGCTGTCAGGGGAGTTCACCGCCTGACAACCGGTGTACACGCTGAGGTAATCAGAAGTTGTCAAACGTGAAGTGTCCTCAGCCACGAGCGGGAGTGTGCTCCGTGTTTGCCCGTCCAACGTCAGAGCTTTGGCTACAGTGTAGGTGTACTAATGGCCTCTTTATCAACAGGGACCATTAAATAATGTCCTGCGACTGCAAATCTGGCAGCGAAATTGTTGTTTAGCAGAGGAAAATGGAGACACAGATGGATAATAGGAGCTTGTTGTCGCTAGCCCAGCCCAGTTA